TGGGTACATTTTAGGTAAGCCAAATCTGCGAAGTTTAACAATATTTACGTCAAATTGTTAAAATGAAAAGCTTCGCTTATAATATAATAAACCTCTTGAGAAAACTTCTTTCAATGATTTGTATTTCAATCTCAAGAAGTAACGTTGATAATGTAAATTTTCTTGAAAATAATTTAAAAAGTTGGACAGATTCTTATATTATAATGTTTTTTAAGGCAGTTGCAATTTAATATATTTTCAGAAAGAATCCAAATTAACAGATCGCATATTTTGCATTAACGTTTCTTACACTTCATGTTGCCTTGCAATAACTTACGAATGTAACCTATTCTACGCTTGTTGGAACGACATGGCCATGCACTTAGAAACCAGCATTACTATGCTATATAATTTCTACAAAAGTTATTCGTAAGCTAACTTTATGCGAGCGTGCGGGCATGCTCAAACGCGTTGTTTACGTCATCTGGTCATTCTGATTTTCAAGGGCATGTCTAACTTAATCCAAGTATCTTTCATTTTATTGGAAGTTTGTTTTGTGATACGTTTCTAAAGCAGATATCATCTGTGAATTTAAAAAAGGCCTTTCAGGACTTGAACCTCTTATATATTTAGCTAAGAGTGCAAGAGTTATGTAAATTATGAAATGGTGGCCGAATGTTAGCCTTTGCAATGTTGCCACTGGATCTTTTGCAGATATCAACTATCACAGCAGTCAATATCTTCCTGCTTTTCCAACTGCTATGATCGTTGATTTTGAAAGTTACAAAGGTCCTGAGAATTATCCTACTTTTTTTCCTTTTATATTTATAACACTTTCATCAGTCTTTACATGGTATCAGTCTTTATATGGTATCATATAGATCGCGTCAGTTGTATTATGAATTGTTGTTTTGTCTTTATGTTTGGTGAAACATGATTTGAGTTTTTGTGTAGGTTTGTGGGCGACGTTAATATTAAATGGTCGAAGAAGTCTGGCAGTCATTTCTGATGTTCCGTTTATGTATGGTAATGTGACGATTTTTACTGTTTCGTCCGGTTTTGTTGCTTTGTCGGTTTGTGTTTTGTTTTGTATTTTGTATATAGTTTTGTTTATGAAGTTTCTAGGGTAGTTTTTTAGTAAATGTGGAGTATAAGTAGTTGCGTTCTGTTTTGGCTTCTTCCGTATTACAATGAGTGTTTATCCTGTTGAAAAGTGTTCGAATGCAGCTTATTTTGTGTTGTGTTGGATGATTGCTGTTGAAATCGAGTATTTGGTCTGTGTGGGTGGTTTTGCGGTATACTTGTGTGTTTAGTGTGCCGTATCTATTCTGGTTAGTAGGATGTCGAGGAGGTAAGTTTTTTGTCGTGTTCTTCGTCTTTAGTAAAGGTGATGTTCTTTGTGGTATTGTTTATGGTGTGTAGGATTTGTTCAGTTTTGTCTTTCTTGACTATGGGAAAGATGTCGTTGACATATCTTTTCCATAGTCTGATGTTTGTGTTGTTTGTGACTGATTGTGTTTCGAGGTGTTGCATGACAGCTTCTGCGAGGAAGGTGGATAGTGGTGATCCCATGGGTGTGCCTGAAATTTGTCTGTAGTATGTGTTTTGGAAGGTGAATTCAGTGGAGAGGCAAAGGTTGAGTAAGTCTAGGATGTCATTTCTGTCTAGTTGTGTTAAAGCTTGCCAAGTTTTGTCGTTTGTGAGTAGTTCGTTTGTAATTTGTTTGGCAATGTCTAGTGGTATGGATGTGAAGAGTGATGTCACGTCGTAGGATATCATGATTTCGTCTGGTCTTAGTTTAATGTTTTCAATACTGGCCAGGAAAATGGTGACATTTCTGATGGTGTGAGGTGAATTTTTGACTAATGGATACAGAATGTTATAAAGATATTTTGAAAGTTCATACGTAGGTGATCCTGGAAGCGATACGATAGGTCGAAGTGGGTTGTTTTCTTTATGGATTTTTGGTAGTCCGTAGAATTTGGCGGTGGATGCGTCATTGGGTCGGACTCTTCTGTAGTCGTTTTCGTTTAGTTTCTTTTTGTCTTTTAAATATTTCAGTTTCTGGTTGATGCGGTTGGTGGTCGTTTTGCTGGGGTCTGTGTGGAGAAGTTCGTAGGTGATGGTGTCTTGTAGGAGGGTTTTGGCTTTGTCGATGTATTCTGATCTGTCCATGATAACTGTTTTGCGTCCTTTGTCAGCTCGTAATATGATTACTTGGTCATCGTTTTGTAGGTTTTTAATTGCTCGTAGCTCTTCGTAGTTTAGGGTGACAGGTGGTTTGTGGCAGAGGTTATTTGAAATTTTGTGACGAATGTCTTCTTTCGTTTGGTCTATTAAGTAGGTGTCCTTCAAAGCGGATTCAGGTCGGCAACGTAGTCAAGTTTGTTCGCGTCTTTAAAGTTGTAATTTAATCCTTTGTTTAAAATTTTAGTTTGCTGTTCGGTTAGTGGTTTGTTCGAGATGTTTGTGACAAATTCGTTTGTGTTGGGATGGACTTGTTTGTAAGATCTTGATTCTTGTAATTTTCGATGAAGTTCGTGGTGTCGTTTTGTTCGATGTGCGGATGTTGCTTTTGATGGCTTCATGGATTTGTCTGATTGTGTAAATGTATGATGTTACGGTTTCTCGATGTTCATGTAGTTTATGACGGTTAGAGATCGTAATACGGTTGTGTACATCTATATGAGGACGTTTAACATACGGCGGCCGTTTGATTGTGCAAGTTGTTGAAAGTGGGTTGTTTTTAATGGTGGTCGATAGTTGATGCTGTTCGGTAGGATTCGTTGTTGTTTGCATTTGTGTAGGAAGTGAAGCTGCTCCAATGTTGATGACTCTTTACGTGCGAATAATTACCATTTTCTTGTTCTTCTGAGAATATCTATCCCATATGTCGATTTTATAAGTTTGAAAATTTGAAATTTCTAGAACAAACCACTAACCGAACAGCAAATAAAATTTTAAACATAAAGGATTAAATTACAACTTTAAAGACGCTAACAAACTTGACTACGTTGCCGACCTGGAATCCGCTTTAAAGTACACCAACAACAGACCAAACGAAAACATTCGTCACAAAATCACAAATAACCTCTGCAAACCACCTGTCACCCTAAACAACGAAGAACTACGAACAATTAAAACCTACAAA